TGTAATCTCGTGAGATTATAGTAAAAGCAGCCGGTTTCCAGCGTTTTGTAGATCGCTTCTCCCTTCATTCAGAGAACTGATCTATACCGCTTCATAAAAAGGCATTCGTGGGGAAACTGTGTTTTCCAAGAATGCCGGATAACTGAGCAGCAGTCATTTACCACTGCTTGATAAAAGGACACCTATATTGCCAAAACCATTGGGACAACCATTCAAATCATTGGATTCAGGTGTTCCAATCACCTCCATGGCCACAGGTGTATAAAATCAAGCACCTAGGCATGCAGACTGCTTTTACAAACATTTGTGAAAAAATGGGTCACTCTTAGGAGCTCAGTGAATTCAAGCATGCTACATGGTTGCCTCCTGTGCAAGAAGTCCATACGTGAAATTTCCTTGCTACTAAATATTCCATGGTCAACTGTTAATGGTATTTTAACAAAGTGGAAGCAACTGGGAACAGCAGCAGCTAATCCATTATGTGGTAGGTCATGTAAAAAGACAGCGGGGTCAGCACATGCTGAACGCCCATTGCGCAGAAGTCACCAACTGTCTGCAGAGTCATTAGCTAAAGACCTGCAAACTTCATGCGGCCTTCAGATTAGCACAACCATGCATAGAGAGTTTAATGAAATTTGGTTTCTATGACTGAGCAGCTGCATCCAAGCCTTACATCACCAAGTGCAATGCAAAGTGTCAGATGCAGTGGTGTAAAGCACTCCACCACTGCAGTCTTGAGCAGTGGAGACAGGCTCTCTGGAGTGAGGAATCCTGCTTCTCTATAAATAGATAAATAAAGTGCAGCGCTAAAGCATATCAAAAAAGTTATTTGTTGTCAAAAAGTTCATAAGATGTCACGATCAATACAATGGTATACACAGCTAGAAGAATCCAGTGGAAATGACAGAAATGCGCACTCACCGACCGCGCATAGGAAATGCGCATTTGTGTGTTATAATCACAGGTATCAAGCTCCCTCAGGACGAGGTGTCATCAGGTGGTGATCTGCCAGGCTCACAGGACCTCCTTAGGATCAGGATTAAATCAGGCCAGGTGAGGGCTCCCTCCTCCAGATATAGCTGTGTCTGCCAGTCTGATAACCCCTCAATAAGGGGTAAAAAAACGGGAAAATGCCCATAGTGTAGTATTTCAAAAGTTTATTTGATAACACATATAACAGGATAGGTCAGTATAAAAAAAACTGGCAAACAGCCAGAAAGTGCAAGCTGAAAGATACAAGTACTGACCTAGAGTAAAATGGCCGCCAGACCTCCTCGTGGTCTGGGCGGCGATGAGGCGTCACAAGCTGTCAGTTCCTCCTGAGGCCTTTCGTGCTAAGGCACATCTTCAGAGGGGAGACCTTTTTTTGACAACAAATAACTTTTTTGATATGCTTTAGCGCTGCACTTTATTTATCTATTTATACAGTCAGAGGAGGTTGTGATCCCCTCCTGTGCCACTAGCTGCTTACTCATTGATACTTTCTCTCACTTAATAAGCGCTCACTTTGTTTTATATATATTTTAATCCTGCTTCTCTGCCTGGCAATCCGATGGACGTGTCTGGGTTTGGCAGTTGCCAGGAGAATAGTATCTGCTTGACTGCATTGTTCCAAGTGTAAAGTTTGATGGAGGGGGGATTATGGTGTGGGGTTGTTTTTCAGGGGTTGGGCTTGGCCCCTAAGTTCCACTGAAGGGAACACTTAAGGCATCAGCATACCAAGACATTTTGGACAATTTCATGCTTCCAACTTTGTGGGAACAGTTTGGGGATGGCCCCTTCCATTTCCAACATGACTGTGCACCAGTGCACAAAGCAAGGTCCATAAAGACATGGATGAGTGTGTTTTGGGGTGGAGGAACTTGACTGGCCTGTACAGTCCTGACCACACCCCAATAGAACACATTTTGGATGAATTTGATCAAATTTGAGGAATGAAGCAGGAGACTGTGAGACAGGCCTGCTTGTCCAACATAACTTCTGGAAGAATGGTCAAACGTTCCCATAGACACACTCCTAAACCTTGTGGGCAGCCTTCCCAAGATAGTTGAAGCTGCAAAGGGTGGGCCAACTCCATATTGAACTCCTATGGACGAAGACTGGGATGCCATTAAAGTTCATGTGTGTGTAAAGGCAGGCGTCCCAATACATTTGGCAATATAATTGTACATATACCCATTGAAGTGACTGGCCTTGAGTGATACACAGGGATGAAACAAATCCTCCTCCATAAAATATACCTGTTTATCTGCAGTCTTCTATACATCTGTTCAAAGTGCAGAATTTATAAAGCTTGTCTGAGCATTGGATAAAAGGGGCGAAGAGCTGATATTACACTCTGCAAAGCTCAGTGAGGAGAGCTGTGCGAGTGGATTGGAGGAAAGTGACACATCCACCTTCACACAGCTCACAGGAACAGAGATGAGGCTGTCAATCTGTGAGAGGTCCCTCCCCTGTTGCCATGTTGCTCTTGGTGTCAGCATAAATCACTTCTGGCAAGTTTTCCTGAGGAATGAAGCAGGAGACAGAAATGACACTTGGTGCTCTGGATTGAGAAAAGTACACACTATAGAGGGGTATGCTTTGTTCATATTTTGTTCCAGAGGCTTTCAAAGCTGTAATTCTTCTGCAGGGGTCTTCTCAAAGCCCCTGAATAGTATCCACATCACATATGTAACCATATTGGCCCAATCTGAAATGTAGGAGAAATTTATTATAATTGGATGTTTTTCATGCCTCTGTCAGCGCTGATTGCAAGCTCCACCCACCTGACCTCATATCAGTCTACAATGTCAGCTGTATCTGCACTGCATGGCTATTTGGGCAGTGACAAGGGAGAAATGAACAACTGTCCTGTCAACTCCCACAGCTGTAACTACGTTGCTTATGATTCTTGGGAGGTGTAGTCTAGTTTGCATCACCAAGATGAGAGGAGAAAGTATGTTGTGCACCTCCTCCAATTGTCCAGACTTGACTGCAGCAATTGGGATGATGGTGAAATCATGGGACTTCTATAGATCTGTTGAGTGCTGCAAGTCATTTATTTTTTTTTAATATTGTTTGAAGACAACATTGTTCTTCAGACATTTTATGGATTTTTACTGTCCGGTTATCAAAGGGCCATCTGGTCTGTATCTTGGAACACCAAGTGAATCAGTGGACACAGCAGGGTGTTTGTAACAAGGGGTCGCAAATGGGAATTCATCTCCTGAAGGATGTTCTTGCATAGGCTTCCCTGATGTGATGTGTGGGGGTAGAGGAGCATCAACTCCGACCTCCTGGTGATGTGAAAAATGAAAATGGCAGATTTCCTGACTTGTAACAACATCAAAGATGGCAAAATGTGGGCTGCGATGCTGACCTAGGTCAACAAGATTTATGGAAATATAGCAGTGCCAATTGGTGGAGATAGCAACACACTTCCTGGAGGATTCAGGGTAACACCTTTACTTCCTGATGATTAGAAATGACAGGCCCTTATAATTTACGGATTGTAGCTCATTGGACAGAGGACTATATAGGCAGAGGGTGTCGAGTGGGTGTTGCTTGTGAGTGGTATAAAATGCATGGGAGAATGTCACCAGCACACCAAGGATCACCAATATGGGTCCAAAAGTTTTTCTTTAATGAACGATCACATAGTTACAGCACGGCAACATTTTGGAGTCTCGCAGGACCCCTTCATCAGGCATGTGACATGTCACATGCCTGATGAAGGGGTCCTGTAAGACTCCAAAACGTTGCCTTGCTGTAACTATGTGATCATTAAAACTTTTGGACCCATATTGGTGATCGTCAGTGTACTGGTGACATTGTCCCTTGCGGATTCTGTTTGGTTCCAGCAGCTGGTTGCTGCAGCACCCCCACTTATACACACAGCCATTTTTAATGCAGGAACATGTACATTTGGATTGTACACTTGCATTCTGGTATAAAATGCAAGGGCCAGCCATGGTCCTTTCCTCATTTTTGTTTTATTTACCCCCTAAAGCCCAGCCAATATAATTAACTTGCGTTGAGCATGGACTTGCGTAATGTATCATCTCTTCTCCTTGTTTCTATTTATACGCTGTAATGTTCAGGTAGATTTCTATGTTGGTGTTTTAATTTCTTTGTAAATAAATAAGATCTTTTTTCTGCAGTCTGTCAATAGCATTAACCCAGCAGTTTCTGTTTTCTGTAATATGGTGGCAACACTGCACTGTTCATGAAATCACCACAGCGTAGTAACCCTGTGGGCTCTGGCTAGCCATAGACAGTTCGAATTTTGGCCAGTTCAGCAGGAACTGGCCGAAATTTGTACGCTGTATGGGCACGCCGAATGCACCCAAGTTGAAGATCAATCAACTTGGGTACAACCAGCCTGCCAGATTTTACATTTGATTATTGCTAGCAGCTGTTATAGCCTCTAGCAATAATCATTTCGTTCTCCTGGTGGGGCGGCTACAGGGAGAACATGATGGCTCAGTGGGAGGGATTTCCCTGTTGTGTTGATGGGGAATCAAGCAATTTTCTTTCCTGCAACCCATGGTTGTAGGAAAAAAAAAAATTGCTAGTAATGCACAGATATATCGGCCACTGAAAATTATTGGTTGAAAATATGGTTATCGGGGTTTTGGCAATAGGAAAAAAAAAAACAAGTGTGTGTGTTTTTTGTGTGTAAAATATAAAGTAGAAGCAAAAAGTCAAACCTAGTTGTGGGTATTAGTCACAGATTTTATAGCTATAGATAGTTTGTCTGTTTGTTTTACATTGGCGTATTGCTTTTACTCTATTCTTTTTTTTTTTTTTTTTTTTTTTTTTTTTTTTTTGGTTTATTGGGTTGGACTAGTTGCCTATCCTTGGATACATCCATCTCACGAATTATTTTTATCTCACTGTGGATCTCACTATTTACATTGCAGGCTGTCCTTTGTTTTTGAAGAATCATAACCCATGTTCAGAAATTTAGGTACAGAAAAGAACCACAGCCTGTTGGCAAAAATTAACAATGCTTTGTCTCTTTCTGTTTTTCAGACTGCCTTGGATCAGCCATCTTTTCTCCAATCAAATCTGATATTACAGGAAACATAACCGTACGTTTTCAAACCTTAGCTAGACAAAAAATCTAGTCATAAGACGGCCATTCTTTCATTTTTTTTTATTTATTTTTTTTTTTAAGTGGGAGTAACTCCTTTTTTTGTTTTTTTTGTTTTATTTTTTTTCTCAAAATAAAAAAAAAATCTTCTCTTGGCAATCATTCTATGTTGAACATTTTAGCCAACTTTGTTGCAGATTTCTAACTGTTTCTGCTCTGAAGAAAGAGCTGTATGGTTTTTATGTCAATTTGCCAAGTGAATCTGAATGGGAGTGGCTTTTATATTATTAATCATCTGATGCCCTTGCACTATTCTAATGAAAAAAGTTGCAAGGTCAGCATCCCTTTAGAAGTGATTAACCCTGGTAGTACCCAACCAAAAAAAATTTAGTTGCGGAGGATAGCTAATTTCTAGGGAAATCCTGTACGCCAGCTGTGTACAGAAAACCTCCAGGTTGCCATATTGCATTGTTGTTTTTGTGGTTTTTTTTAAATTATGATTGAAAATAAAAAGTCATTTTTCACTAATGTTCAATTACAATTGGCCTTGTGAAGCAATTGTATATGCTATATTTTTAGGGTGTGGTTACCCTTTTAGTAATCCTTCTGCTGATATTCAGCCTATGAACTGAGCGTAAATGACCCATGTATGTGGAGTTCAAAGCTTTCTCTGCTCACCACTCAATTTACATTATTAAAAATTAATTAGTAAGGCAGGTTGTAGATGATGCATTTGTTTTTTTTTTCCGTTCAACCAGCAGGTTGAACAGAAAAAAAGATTACTTTTCCCCAAACGCACACTTGGTGTTGGTCTTTTAATAATAATAAAAAAAAATCAATGTTAATAAGTGCCTCTTGATGTGGATTACCTATTTTGACATATGCTGTGAGATGCGTACATTCGTAACCATAATTTTATGTTTTGTTTTAAACAGCTGCGTACAATTAATAGAAATATTTTATATGGCATTTCTTAACTACAAAATGGTACTTTTTTCATTTTTACTTTAAACTGTAATTTAGGTCACCTGCATCAAGTGCAATTACATGTACATACCGTATTTTTCACCATATAAGACGCTCCGGAATATAAGACGCACCCAATTTTAAAGGAGGAAAATCTAGAAAAAAAAAGATTCTGAACCCAATACATATAGTAATTCATCCCCCCTATAGTAATTCATCCCCCCTATAGTAATTAATTCCCCATATTGTGTCAATTCACTTACCTTTGCTCCGCGCGTTCCTCTCGCCGTGTTCCCGCGCTGTTCCGGTCTTCAGGGCTGATCCACGAGCAGAGGGGTTGATGACGTCAGCGCGCACCGCCGGGTGTACTAAGATGGCCGACCGCTCCAGAGATAGGCCAAAGCCGCGGCCTTTCCTGCGGCCGTGGCCGCGCCTGACGGATTCTCTCTCTATTCGTCGTATAAGACGCACCAACTTTTCCCCCCCAGTTTTGGGGAAGAAAAAGTGCGTCTTATACGGCGAAAAATACGGTACTTCATAACTTTCCAGGCTCGGGGAACCTCTGCTAAAAATTACTATATCTCTTACTCCTAATACATTAGTATGATGGTCATTGGGAAGAATGCTCCTTACACTTGTGGTCACTAGAGAGAATCTCACCCTAACATATAGCTAAAAAGATCAATGGTGTTAGGGTTCCTTGAGCAATTTCTGCATCTCAGATAAGTTTCCACTAAGCAACCTCTGCAGGAACCCTAGATGAGAAACCCTGGCCTATGGGGTTGATTTACTAAAACTGGAGAGTGCAGCTTCTGGTGCAACTTTGCATGGTAGCCAATCGTCTTTTAGCATCAGCTTGTTAAATTAAGCTTTGACAATAAACCCTGGAAGCTGATTGGTTTCTGTGCAGAGCTGCACCAGATGCTGCACTCTCCTGTTTTAGTAAATTACCCCCATTATTACAAAGCAGTGGTGTGGATCTCCACATCGGTGACCTTCTGATGGGCTGGTCCTCAAAGACTGTACTGCCTGATGATCAGCTGGGATAGCTCGCTGTCTCTCATGATCAGGCCTGGACTGGCTATAGTGCACAGACTGGGGCCGCCAGGCTTAGGATGACCGGGGCCACAAAGCAGGAGGTAAGCAGTGACCGCGGTCTGGATGGGGCTGATATAGAGAGCGGCCGCCACTCGTCTGCGGCTATGCCCAAAGCAGGGCTGACAGGAAGAGTGGCAGTGACTGCTTCTGAACACTAGCAGGGAGCGCCGCTGACTCCTCGGCCGGCCGCTGCACTGAAGGGAGAACGGCGGCCTCTTTTCTTCACCCGCCAGCACACTGACACAGGTCTGTAGCGGCATTGGATGGGGCTGTCTCTTTGCTGGTGTAGCTGTCTCTTTTCTGGACTGGAGGGGCTGTCTCTTTGCTGGACTGGGCTGTCTCTTTGCCCAGTTGGGTCCAGCAAAGAGACAGCCCAGTCCAAGAAGGGACATCCCCATCCAGCAAAGAGACATCCCAGTCTAGCAAAGAGACATCCCGTCTTTGCTATATTGGGATGTCTCTTCTGGATTGGACCATCTCTTTGAATATATAGGGGGCACTGTAATGTAAAGGGGCACTGTGATATAAAGGGGACTGCGCTGTAAAGGGGCACTGTAATCAATACAGTGCCCCTTTGCAGTGCAGTCACCTTTATATCACAGTGCCCCTTTATTTTACAGTGTGGAGGACCGCCACCCAGGAAATTGGCAGCTCATTCTAAGATGCCCGGGCCTATTTTTTGTCCCAGTCTGCCTGCTCATAATGATGTAAGATAAGAGAACTGTGCATCTTAGTGAGCAGTGGCATATCTTCAAACTGCTTCGCTCTAGTGATAGCTATTAGCCACTCGCCCTCCTAATTGTCTACAAGCATAATTGCTTTCCCTATAAAATTGGCCCTCTTCATGTAAGGTAAAGAGTGCTCCCTTATGGGGAGGACTGAGAAGACTCATCTTCTCTCATTGCTGTTCTAAAATTATTATTCAAATTTTTGATCCTTTTTTGGATGGTCTTCCCACTCTCCTATGGCTAGTCCACTACTGTAATTTTTTCTTGGAGTACAGTTACCTTGAACAGACACAAGGTTTAATGACCATGTAGGTGCAGGAGTAATAGACATTTAAACCTTTTACACAGTAGGCGGACATACACAAAGTTGTCTATTCACAAAGTTAATACATTCAGACAGACAAAGAAATGGATCACATTGCGTAACTGGAAAAAGGGTAAATAAGAATTTATGATGCAACTTCTAAGTTATGTGGAGGAAGTACAACAGTTTCTCTGCTGTAGGAAATGGTGCAATAGGAAGTGAAGGTTGACTGTGGCAAGGTTCTCAGCTGATTTTTGGATTGATGTGAAGATCCTGCAACATGAATGTCATCTGCTATTGCAGATCTTTAGCGCAATTACAGATCTGCAGAAACGCATTACAAGCCATTTGACCTCATTTCCTATGGGTCCCGTTCACATCTGCATTTTTCTGCAATGCATTTTCGTAAAGGTGCACTGACTTTTTTTTTTTTTTTTTTTTTTTGTAATACACACAGCATTTTTGTGGCTCCAATGGAATCACATCAAAAATGCTCATTCATGCATTATTATTGCATTTTCCTGCATGACAACAGACAGCTACTCCCAGCAACATCAACACATAGCTTTCCATTGGCCCAAATGTATTAATAACGCATACAAAATGCACATGTAAAACTGCAAAATGCACTGGATTCAGCACCACAAAAAACGCATCAACACATGCATAGATGGGAACCTAGCCTTAATCCTTGTTAAGCAGTGATTAAAAGAGATAAAAACACTTTAAAATTGTGGTCAATCTGAAAAGTATGTTTTGAGAGTTTTGCTGTGCCCTTAGTGTTCCTTTAGAAAAGTTCTTGTTCTGCAGCATTTGGATTCCACCTTCCCCTGCTAATTTCACAGTTGAAGTCCAGGAGAGATGAAAAGTTTATGCAATAGTTGCTTTTTTCTTTGCCTTCTTTTTCCTTCCTTACTATATTTTGTTCCATTTTCCTTTTCTAGGTTTCCTGTTCCTTCTCTTTTAGATTTCATCTTTTCCCACTAGATTCATTCAAGCATGTTGGTTTTTGAGGTATCATGCCCATGTTTAATCCCTGTAAGGCAGAGCTTAAAATTTCGAGTCTAGACCTACTAGCCAGGCACAAACCTTACTCTCCACCAGTTGCCCCACCCAACCTTGCCTCCAACCCCCCCCCCCCCCAACCACGCCCCCTTAAAGCTTATGAAATGAAATTTTTTCTTTAGAATAGAGTCCAAAATATAAAACTGTATACAGTAATGTATATCCCAGCTCCCCTGTACTCCATTATAGTGATATGACATGTATACAGTAATTTATATCCCCCCTCCCCTGTACTCCATTATAGTGATATGACATGTATACAGTAATTTATATCCCCCCTCCCCTGTACTCCATTATAGTGATATGACATGTATACAGTAATGTATATCCCAGCTCCCCTGTACTCCATTATAGTGATATGACATGTATACAGTAATGTATATCCCAGCTCCCCTGTACTCCATTATAGTGATATGACATGTATACAGTAATTATATCCCCCCTCCCCTGTACTCCATTATAGTGATATGACATGTATACAGTAATGTATATCCCCCCTCCCCTGTACTCCATTATAGTGATATGACATGTACACAGTAATGTATATCCCCCCTCCCCTGTACTCCATTATAGTGATATGACATGTATACAGTAATGTATATCCCCCTCCCCTGTACTCCATTATAGTGATATGACATGTATACAGTAATGTATATCCCCTCTCCTCTGTACTCCATTATAGTGATATGACATGTACACAGTAATGTATATCCCAGCTCCCCTGTACTCCATTATAGTGATATGACATGTATACAGTAATGTATATCCCAGTTCCCCTTTACTCCATTGTAGTGATATGACATGTACACAGTAATGTATATCCCAGCTCCCCTGTACTCCATTGTAGTGATATGACATGTACACAGTAATGTATATCCCAGCTCCCCTGTACTCCATTATAGTGATATGACATGTACACACAGTAATGTATATCCCAGCTCCCCTGTACTCCATTATAGTGATATGACATGTACACAGTAATGTATATCCCAGCTCCCCTGTACTCCATTATAGCGATATGACATGTATACAGTAATGTATATCCCAGCTCCCCTGTACTCCATTATAGCGATATGACATGTATACAGTAATGTATATCCCAGCTCCCCTGTACTCCATTATAGTGATATGACATGTACACAGTAATGTATATCCCCCCTCCCCTGTACTCCATTATAGCGATATGACATGTATACAGTAATGTATATCCCAGCTCCCCTGTACTCCATTATAGCGATATGACATGTATACAGTAATGTATATCCCAGCTCCCCTGTACTCCATTATAGCGATATGACATGTATACAGTAATGTATATCCCCCCTCCCCTGTACTCCATTACTAAACCCAGGACCCTGCATTCACTATATCTTCTGGTCTCCACAGTACACAAAACATGGAAGTGCAATTATTTTAGTAAATATAAACTGCTACATACCTTTTCTCATCAGCAGTTAGAGCAGTCTTGTGACTTCTATCAGTGTCTAGCCAATTGCTGGTTAAAGCTTGTGTGAGGAGTTTTCATTCTCTGTCTGGCCAGTACTGATTGGGCCTGTGCACCCCCCCCCCAAAAAAAAAAAAACAAAACAAAAAAAAACTCTAGCAATACACACCAAACAGTGCATGTGCAGACTTGCCACTGCTGCTCTGTACTATGGCAGATGGGTCAGGGGACAGTAAAAGAAGGGGAGGATCAGAGAAGACAGGACCAAACAGCCTTTTAATACGCAATGTGGAGGATTAACCCCTTTAGGTTCTACAGTGAGTATAACAAACATTACTGCAAATACAGACCATTTTTACTGGTGTGGGTTTATTAACATTTTTAAATTAGTTCTAAGATGCATTGTCCAAATGTAAAATGCCTTTTTTTTCTTTTTATACCTTTTTCTTTGCTTTATGGTAGAAAATACGCATTGTATATGAATCCAACCCTACCAAGTTCAAAACACTACAGCTAATTTTGGAAGGAGAAAAAGAAATGCATGGCCCACAGTGGCCGAAGGTTGGGGCAACCCTGGCCCTTATGTGGCTAAAGAGGTGAGATAATCGGACATGAACTGTCTGTGCTGATGCATTTAGTTAATTAGGACCTCTTTAAAGTATAACTAAAGGCAAACCAGTTTTGGACATAGTGGAGATGGATTGAAACGCCTGTCAGTTTTTATTCCAGTCTGCATCCCCGTTGAGATTCCCCCTTCCTATTTGTCCTGTTTACCATTAGCCTTGAAAGTGAAAGAAAATATAAAATTTTGGGTTGTCTCCAGAAAAGTAATAGAGGGGGAATCTTCGAATGGGGACACTGGCTCTGGTGACCTGGGGGGGGGGGGGGGATTCCCTTAATTTGCAGGGATTTTCTCTCAGTAGGATGGCCCTAATGGTGGCTGCAGTTGAGCATATGCTTTCTCTTGAAGAAAATGATTTCTATTCCATCTTGTAGCCTGTGCTGTGAACAGCAGGGCAGTACTTACTATCATCACGTTACAGGATCAGATACTGGCAAGTTTTAGCGTATAGGATCAGATGCCAGCAAGTGTTAGTAGACACATGTCCACTTACACCCGCTGGTCCATAGAGGGATCGGGTCTTGCCCACACTCCAAGCACACCCAAAAAAGCCTATAAAAAGGTACCAGGGGCATTTCATGGGGCCCCTACTGATCTTGGGCCCTCAGGCAGTGCCAGAGTGCTCGAATGGTCAGTCAGCTCCTGGGTGGACCCGATTTGACCGTCTGTGTAAAAAGGGCCTAAATTTTGTATGTTTTATTGTATATATTAATTTTTATTATACAAGTGCCATCCCTTGTATCAGGTCACTATTTTAGTAAAAAACTAATGTTCTTAGAAGCAGCGTGCTATATGGTTTGGAACAGGCTTTTGTTTGTATCAGAACTGCTTCCCCCTCCATATAAATTCAGTGGGAAAGCAGCTTTAAGCAGGTTGATGCAACTTAGGAGGTTAAAGTATAAGGTTGTCCCCAAAAAAGTAATAGAGGGGAAATCTTCCAATTGGGACACTAGTTCTTGAGACCCGGGGGTCCCCAAGAAGTATATTTAATTTGCAGAGATTTTCCCTCACTTCCTGTTTTTGGCTATGGGACAGGAAGTGAAGGTAAATCTCCCCAATGGGACACAGATAACAAAATAAAAAAAACTGACAGAGGTTATAACCTTCCCTCATCCAAAATGGAAAAAAATGCCTATAGTTCTACTTTAATTGCAGGTCAGTGCACCTGTCAATGAACTCTAGGGCCTATTCACACCAAGTTTGTTTGTTTTTGTTTTTTCCTAATGCATTTTAATAATTGCAGTCCCTTTAAAATGCACATTAATGCAATTTTTCTATTTTATCATTAAAGCTTGTCAATGAAATACACATGCTGATGCCCGATAACACATGTATTGATGCTTTGCCATGCATCATGATGCATGCATGTTGACATGCACTTTGTGTGTCTTAACGTTTTTGTATTTGGATGCATTTCCAGTAAATTCAATTAAAAGAAAAAAAAAAACACTTGCCGAAAGGAAGATGCTGGTCTGTTATGTGACCTGCAGCCACTGTGCTCTGCTGTAGTGTTCTTGAGATGATTGTACCCTAATTTGGTTAGCCACAGAGCACTTACAGGTCCAAGGGCATGATGCAGCTATGGTGGAATTCTTTCCCTGAAGACTCCCTAGGGGGTATTCAGCTGGAGTGGCAAAGTCTGCCAGGGATGTGCATACTTCACTTCATGGGTTACTAGTGTCCATCCAGACTGCCCTGGGTCAGAGTGTATTCTTTCTTCCCCTCCAGGTTATGCTTTGTGTACTATGATGCATTTAATATGTTGCAGACATTTTATCTTGCCCCTGCAATATTTTTTTTATTTTTTTTTTAAATTGTCGCATGCACCTTTTATAAGGGCTACAACACTCTCCTTGGATGGTAGCTCCTCGGTTGTAATGACATACACCTTTACCTCTTGGTGCTTTACCTGTGAGATCCAGCAGCTCCTTGCAAGGTTCAGGTTACCTTGCTGCTGCCTTACAGTGACAGGGCCACAAAGGGCATTAACCCTTCTTATTCAGCAGTGGTTTATGAGTACCCCTTGTGGGATATCTCTCACTTTGCAGACTGTAGTAGGGCAGATCATATGCACAAGAGTACTGGTATTACAGGCCTTGCCAGCTTGTGTTCCACTACCAGTTCAATGGTGGCTTACAGTGTACCTCCTAAAGCAGTTAACACAATTAGTTAGTTCACTGTCCCCTGTTTGAGTCTAAACTCTCCTTAAAGCAGAACATTACCAATAACAACTTGATAAAAAATAATGTTCTTTAGCAAGGAACATACATTCCACGTTAATATTTATGCTACTAGTGTGTGTTGTAAATTGCCACAGCATCGTCCCTATTTCTTCTTGCTGGGGGCTGCCATTTTGCTGAAGCCCTGAGAAGCAGTAAATCTTTAGGCTATCAGCAAAATGACCTTTAAGTGGCTCTGATTTTAATTGCAGTGCCAAATAAATGCCAAAAATGGAGATAAACTGGGCATGTGCACAGCAGGGTGAGAGACTGTATTACTGGATTTTTAAACCATATAGGCACTTTAATGTTTACATAGATATACCTGCAAATGAAGCCAGTCTGAAGTGACCTAGCAGGCCTCAATTTTCTTACTAAAGTTTTGCTTTATCTTCTTTTGGTGTGGCTTCTTGCTCTGTTTTGTCCAGGGAGGAATTTTCAGCAACTAGATCTGAGTTTATGGGAAAAAATTCAGTCATGTTAGCTGACTGAGAATGCAGTGATCAAAAGCTCCCATGCTCTCCACCAAGGTCCATCACTGAGTTCCCTGTGGCTGCAGCTGCTTCTGCACATTTAGCTCAGGATAAATAGTGTACCATATCCCTTTTGGATGAGTTGGTACATGAAGAGGCTCACTCCTAAGCTTAAAGGATACAATTTTTGTCCCTTTTTTGTTGCGATTCACTTTTGGACCCTCAGTAAACTGAAACAACGGTCTCTAAAGTTGCTAGCCTGGGTTCTCGTAAGAGTCCCCAGCCTGTTCAAGCATTCCACTGTACTCACTACTGCAACCTGTGTTTGTATAGTGATTGGCCTAAGGCAGACAAAGTGTTTTTCTCCAAAATGTTTTGCCCAGCAAGGTCCTATTGAGGAGGGATTCCTTTAAAAGTGGACATGCCTGTAGTGGATCCAACCATTTCCAGTGTTGACAAGACTAGGTCTGCTCTGTGAATAAGTCTAAAAGCCCTTTAGTTTTCTCCCATGAGCTCTGCTCTGCACTGCAGCCTGCCATTGTAGCTGTGTCCATCTGCTTGGGTGTCTGGTCCAAAGATATGTTTAGGGATGCTACATCTGTCCTATTGGATCCTTCAGTCCCCCAACAACTAGACCTTATGCCTGTAGCCTACCACTACTGTGTGGATGGGCTAGTGGATATTTTTGCTTAATTTCAATGGGGAACACCTCTGTCTTCACACTGCTTCATGTTGTCAAACCTTCCAATATCCCCACAAATGCTAGCGGCTCTCCATGAGGCTCTGGCATTGTTTCTCTCCCAATCCCAAGGGGTCATAGCTATTTTTCTGGAAAAGGTTCTGGGGTTTCTACACAAACCTGTTCACCATTCCATAAGCAAAAAGGGGACATTTGTCCAATGCTGGATGTAAAGGTTCTCAACACCTTCTTTCAGGTACAAAAATTCTGAATGGTATCTACATGGTCAGTCATTGCTTCCCTGTATCCAGGAAACTTGCTGGCCTCTAAACTTGCCCCTAACTTTCTGGTGCATCAGTGCTTCCTGTGTTTTGCAGTGGGTACATAACATTACCAGTTGGTGGTCCTCTCCTTTGACCTGTCCACTGCACCATGGGTCTTCACCAGGGTAATAGCCCCTGTACTTGCTCTGCTTCATTCACAGGGAATTCCTCCTATAGTGGGATACCTAGATGACTTCCACTGAGGAAACAGTCGGTACAGACTATCTTTCAGTCAATGTCCAACAGACAGCTCAAACCCTGCAATGGTTCAGGTAGATCCTGAATCTCCAGAAGTCAGTGCTGGTACCAACATTGCATGAAGTATCTAGATCTTCACGTAGATACTGCTCTGTCCATGATTTTTCTTTTTGCAGGAAAAACTTCAAACATTCTGCTCTCACTTCTGCAGTCCTAGAACAAACCTACCCTTCCATTTATACATGAGGCTTCAGGGTTTGATGGTGTTCTCTTTCAAAGCAGTTGAAAGAGGCCACCAATTTTCCCAATTCTTCTCTAGACCTTTGCAACTTAACATTCTGGCTGCATGGGACAAGAAAGCATTTTCTCTGGACCATCGCATTTAAACTCAAAATCAGGTGAGCTCTTGGCTGGTAGTTCACCGGTCTGCAAAGTTCTCATGGCTGAGTAAGAATCCTGGACACTGTCTTGGTGCAAAAGGACTTGGTCATCAAAGGAAGCTGGTCTCCTAGTTAATATTCAGAAGCTCAGAGCAATCTGGTTATCCCTTAAACACTTGACCACTCAGTCTATATGGTCATTGGACCAGGATTTAGTTGGACAACATCACCGCTGTTGCTTATGCCAACCATCTGGGAAGGAACCAGGTGTCTCACAGCTGAAAGAGATCAGAGTCTGGCTTGAATGGAACTTCATGTTCCAGGCATGGAAAATTGATGGGCAAACTCTCAGTCAACAGCTTTTGTACTCAGGAGAGTGGTTTCAGTCACTCAGAGGTATTTCAAGACCTTTATTGCAAGTGGGGAATGCTGGCTGTGGACCTCCTGGCTTCCAGTTTCAACAGCAAACTGACCAAGTTTGTCTTCGGACTATCGTGGACTGTCTTCAGACTATCATGGACTGGTTACTCCATGGGATTCATTTAACCTGCTCTACTCCTCTTCCCCGCTGCTGCATTTTTTTTCCGCCTCCTTTCTTGCTTGCTTCACAGGTTCAAGAAGGAGGGTATTCCAGTGATTCTCATTGCACCACAATGACCCAGGTGGACATGGTTCGTGGAACTCGTCACACTTCTGGTGGACTCTTCGTAAGCTCTTCCAGATTGCCCAGGCCTTCTGTCCCAAGGCCCCATTTACTTCCCTGCGTTTCAGTCACTAACTTAGCAGCCTGGCTGTTGAAATCCAAATCGTGAAGGAAAGGGTTTACCTAATTCTGCCATCACTATGATTTTGAAAGCTACATCTACCATCACACGTTTGTGTTCTTTTTTGTGAGGCAAAGAAATGCCATCCCAGAAATTACACTGTAGGATGCATTCTGTTATTTCCTCAGTCAAGTCTTGATCATTATTTCACCCCAAATACCACCAAGGATCAAATTTTGGCCCTAGGAATTCTCTTTCAAAGAGACTGCCTCTCACTCCTTAGTGAAAGCCTTTGTACAGGGCATCACCCACATTTCTCCCCCTGTACTTTTCCCAGTGACAACGTGGGCATCTCAAACTATTGTTTGCTTTTGCAGAAATCTGTCAGGGATATTCCTGTATCTGTTTACAAGGTTGCCTTCCTCATAGAAACACCTTTGCAAGGCGAGTGTCTGAGTTGTCGGCCTTAACCTGCAAAGAACCCTTTTTTTAACAAAAAGACAAAGTTGCACTGAGGCCTTAAACCTCTTTTCTTTCCACGGTGTCTTGTCTGGATGTGGTATGTGCTGTTCGCGCTTATCTCCCAGCTACATCTTCCTTTTTAAACAGACTTTGTTCTCTTTTGTGAGTGTCCCCATAAGGGACAGCCTGCTTCTAATTCCACTGTCTCTAGGTGGGTTTGGCAGCTCATCAGTCATGCCTATAGGCTTAAGGACATGGTTCCACCCTGCCTTGTGGACGCACACTCTGTTAGATCAGTTAGTGCTTCATAGGCTTTTCAGCATCTGGTATCTGGTTCTCAGAATTAGAAAGCTGCTACCTGTTCTTCTGTTCAAACATTTTGTTTGTTTTAACCAGGTGATTGTTCAGGCCCCATATGATGCCAGCTTTGGTTTAAAGGTATATTCAAGTGGCTCTTTGTGCCCACTTTTAACTTGTTACCTGTGGGCCTGTTCGAATTTTTGTTTGTTGTTGCCTACTCCTCAGACTCCTTTTGGATATCCCATAGTACAATAATTACTTCACCCTGATTCCTTTAACTCTGTTAATTATTCTTTTCTTGGAAGTCCTTAAAGGAAGTAAGTACCCTCCCCTCAATTTTTATGATCCACTTCTTCTGTTGCTTTGCCACCAACTGGAGCATGATGGGAGCGGGAAGGGTTATCTGGACTGTCTTACAGATTTGTTTGCCAATGTCCAATCTCCTGAAGGCAGTAGCATAGCCCAGTATTTCCGAACTACTTAAACCCTGTGTCTCTAAATGAACTCCAATAAAATTATTTTACAGTAAGCCATAAATCTTGCTTTTCTCCACATCAGCCATAAAACCTGGAGCCTCTCACCAATGGTAGGTGATCAGATCAAATGTATAACTTTTTTTTTTTTCCTATAGTGAGTTCTTTGACTTCTCTGAAACAATACGGTTTTTTGATTTTTATATAACCTGTAAAATTGCAGATTAATATAATTTTTGCTCTTGTGATTTTTTTAAAAAAAAAAGGATCTTTCTTTACACTGTTTCTGCTCTTTCTTGCATCACAGAGGTCTAAGGTTCATTCAGGTTTTATTACAAAGCATCTGTGATGGGGAGAAAGATGAGCAAAATCCAAATCTCATCAAAGTTAACGTGACAAAAGCCTATGAGATTGCACTTAAGAAATATCATGGCTGGTTGGTGCAAAAACTATTCCAGGTAAGGAATTTAAGATAACTGATTAGGGCTTGGTTCACACCTATGCGTTTTGGGTGCTTTTTGCAGAAACTTGGTACACTCCATTTAACATGGTTTCCTATGGGACACATTCACATCTATGCTGCTGTATTTTTGGAAAGGGTCAGGGACTTTTTAAAATGCAAAACTGTGCATTTTTTGGTCAATGGACTTCAATGGGGACACAGCAGAAAAGCATATAGTGCGTTTTTGACATGTTTTGTATCTGCCCAACAACAAATTGTCTAAAAAGAAAAAGCATAAAAATGTGTGACAAATGCACTGCAGAAACTGCTCAAAAGCAAAACTGCATTGGTGTGAACCAAGCCTAAAGTGGTTTGGGAAGAACTGGATTTCTGATGTATCATCACATTCTTGTTTATTATTACTGTTTATAGTTTCTGCTGTCTTATTATCTTGTGCATGAATCTATATACAAACTTTCCTTTTTTCTTTCCCAAACAAAGTGATAATGGCTTTGCCTTGCTCTCCTTCAGACTGCACTCCTGGCTGCTCCATATAAAGATGATTTCCTCAAAGCCCTCTCAAAAGGACAAACTGTAAAAGAAGAAGATTGTATAGAGAAGATCCGTCAGTTCCTGGTTAACTACACCACCACAATTTGACGCAATCTATATAATGTACAACAAGATGAGTGCAGAGTTGGATTACAAAGCCTAGGTGGCTAGAGTAAAGACTCATACCCTCTCATTGCTTTCAGCTACAGCTCAGGACATGACCTCTTCTCTGTGAATGTCTCCTGGTAACGTTCACTAGATGCTTGGAAGGTCCATAACCAAAGTTAATTAATGAAAACACGTTTAACAAAGTATATGCAGGGAGTTGGTGCACTATTTCCATATGTAAAATTTTATTCTAACCGGTACACAGGGGACTGCAAACATACTTCTCTTAACACTTTCATCCATGGTCTTAAGATTCTTTTATAACACTAACTCGTACACCATCTCCTCCATAATCTAAAAATATTTTGCGAATGTTATCTCTACAGTGCAAACATTATTAAAGAGAATTTCTAACGTTCTACTTAATATAAAGGAAGGAAAGTTAAATCAACTAAAGGCAATTCAGCCACATGAAAACTAAAAGTATGCAAAATCCTTGTTGGCGTACTGTAGAGAAGGACATTTGCTCTCTGTGCAGAAGCAAGGTCTCTCTGCAGAGGTCTAACAAGTATCCGAATTGGAATGCCAATTGGCAGGAAGCTTGAACTGGGCTGATTGGCGAGCTCTAGTTGTTACTCAGTAGGAGGTTTGTCTGATCTCTGTAGATAGACCATGGCTTCCCCTTAGAAAGTGGGGGTCCTACTCTGCAGCAGGCAGGGGACAGGCTGAGGCTGTGACTAAAGCAAATGCACCTTAAGACTTTGTGCATCCTTTTTGTTTTGACGCAAATGGAATGTATTTAGCTACTTTTACCTTTTGTGAGCTTTAAAGCCTAACTCCAAGTTTACTTTCACTTTAAATAGTTAATTGGGTCAAGCTGGCCCATGCAAACTATTTCCTTTTTCCAATTGATGCGGGCGCTGCAATATACATATACAGGGCTGTGTAGCAGCAGCAATACAGGGATATCCTCTCTGCTTCCGGAACAAAATTGAGTCGAGCTAAGCGCTGCTCAGCCAATTACAGACAGCTTTGTATTTTATCATTGAATACAACGCTTCCTCTGACTGAGGTAGAGGTCATGGCATCATCTGCCTGCCTGTTCCCCTCTGCCAATCAGAGGAAGCCTTGTGTTCATTTATAAAGTAAAAAACTTCTTTTGAATAGCTACACAGTGCTCAGCCTGACTCAGTTTTGTCTTCCAGCAGAAGACGGGATGTCCCTGTACTGTTGCCAAAACTCAGCGCTGATATGTAGCTAAAGCTTTATATGGTGCTGATATTGGCTGCAGCAGTTGGTAAAAGGAATAATTCATTTGGACCAGCCTGGCCCATAAGAACAATTTAAAACTGAAAATAAACCTAGAGTTATGCTTTCATTCGAACGAGTGTTTAATACATAATTACCCACTCTAACATGGCTAAATTATCTACACAACACAATTGTACTTCTAAAGGACAAAAATGTTTTAACATGAGTGATTCAGTAACACAAGCCATCGTAATTGAACATCTGGTACGATCCTTGCCAGTGAACAGTGAGTTCCAGAGATGGCATGTTCGCCTGCTCTAAGTGACTGTTCTGTGCAAGTATAGAGCCATAAGCAAAAAGTAAAGGCTTTGAAAGTACTTCTATATTTTTAATTTATACCAGTATATTTATTCACTTGGTACGGTATGCTTGTGTATGTAGCAATCTACAATGCAGTCAGTAATATTTTTGATATACTATTTGATAGCTGTGGGTTAAAGTATGCAGTAACCCATCAGATCCTGCCGTACAAAGTCATACAATAATGGGGTACGCTGCACTCTTTATTCAAGATTTTCTTTAATCTGTGCTAGGGGAGTATTCGGTAATTGATTGCCTTAAAGATGATACACATATATTTAGAAAATAACCGATATGACTGACATTCTACATATTATTGTGTACAATAATGCTCATAGACAGCAATAGTGTCTATTATGACAGTTGGTGTACGCTTATCCTGGGCATAAAATGTATCTTGAAGGTAATGTAGGCAGATCAATAGGGAAGTATCTGCTAAAGAAATTTGGCCTAGCTTGATGGCTATCCTGCACAAATCCACTCAGTGCCTGTGTAGAAATCCCAGAGCGGAAAGCACTTAACCTCAGGAGATCTGGGAGAGCAATACACATGGACAGACCTGTATCATGAAAAGCAAAGTTGTTGCATTCTTTGTCCATTGTAACAATGCAAAGAGATAGTTTATTTGAGATTTTGTGTGTATTGCCTTGTGTGCACTGAAGTGAATGAAACATGCAACGTGCATGGGAACTGACAGCGATTTGTTGCTCATTAGAATTGCTCTTCAGGGGCATCCTCAACAGGGAAACCAATGTGGTTGTTTTCACCCAGGCACTAAATATGCCTCTTTTAATGGAGAACTGTCTCCCTCTGACAAAGTGTCTTGTATTATTCTAGTTTAGGAGATTTTCTTACTGCTTTGAAATGTTTCGTATGATAAAGGGATACCTAGGCTTGCACATGGTTTCAGGTGTAGCTGAACACTGAAACCACAGAAAGGTGCTTTATTACTGCTTTTAATAGTCATTATCCCAGTGAATATTAACCTATGAAAAATTAAAGTGAAACTAAAGTGTGCAAATATGTCTGCCTGCAAGCTTCCTCACCGGTGCCAAAATCTTCCACATGTGGGATCTTTGGCTATCTTGGTTGGTGGCAAATGACATAACTCCTGAGCACATGCAAAAGAGCTCATTTGTTCCATCACCAAGGTGTGTCAAGAATGTACACTGAGTGGCACATGCACAGCTCCGTGTACATTCCGATTGCAAACAGGCAGGTAAGTTTGCTTTTTTGTTTTTTTTGTTTTTTTTGTCTTTTTTTTTTTTTTTTTTTTTTTTTTTTTTTATTGCATAAGAAACGCATCACATGTCTTTTCTGCAACAAAAATCCTGCCTGCTTTCATTTTTTTTTTTGTTTGGGCTTTAATTCCACTGTAAATCTGGTTTCTATTTGCACCAGTTTATATACACAGATAAAAAGTCTCAGCTTGTCTCAGGAACTTATTTTGTCCTGAGATTTTGATGTTTAAAGGTAATTGCCTAAACCGACACAGTGCTGTAGAAAAAACAAATATGAACCTATAATCACTGCTGCTACTTTTCAACATCAAAATAGTAATAAAAAAATAGTGCGAATAAATTATATACACCAAAAATATTTCACAGTAGAGCAAATGAAACTCTTTAAAGTGACGTGTCTCTAAAAGTGCAGATAGAAGAAAACTGAAATCCACTTCCTTCTCATAGAAGAGAGATTCCACCACCAAGTGCTTGGGCAGTGCCATTCTCATAAACGTGGAAGAAAGAGAATCACCCCCAGTGGTATAGTACATCAACTCACATCCTTTTTATTTATTAAAAAAAAAACAACAAACATTTACATATTTAACATTTAAACCAAGCTCATCCATAAAATCGTTCCAATCTATTCCAAGTATTCCGGAGGTGGTGAGGATTCACTGCTTAGAATCTGCCGCCATTTTATTTAGATGGAAGTGGCTTTCAGTTTTCTTCTATCTGCACTTTTATGGACATATCCCTTTTTTTTAATGATTTTTTTTTTTGTTATTTGAGTTTCATTTGCATTACTGTGAAATATTTTCAGTGTATATAATTTATTGGCACTATTTTTTTTCACTATTTGTTTGAATGTTTAAAGGTAAACTCCAGTTTTTGTTGAAGAAAAAAATACGTACATTGCACATTTTATTTCAGATCCTTACTGGATTCTGTTCTATAGATATTGCAATAGACAATTCCAGTACTATTGCTGAAACCCAAGGGAAAGGCTCTTACTGATACTTGCTATTCTCACATTATTAGTACCAGCTTGGGCACAGTTGACTCTTCTGTAAACGGAATACTGTCACAAGGGTAAGAAATTTAAAGCTTTTTGGTGGTTACTGCCCTTCACTGAATTGAGAAAGCTATTAATCACCATAAATTGCTAAATGTCATGTGTTAGAATTGCGCATCAATTTTTAACAAAACTGGAGTTTTCCTACCTATTGTACAGTTTCATTACTGGGGAATCATAGTAAATATTTTCTTTGCTATTCCTTTATTGAGGCATAGTAATGCATCGAGAACTATAGTTTTGTTTTTGCTCTGTTTTTATTGCTCAATTTTATCATAAGGTATGTAAAATACATTACCTGAACTTAAGCCTGCCATACAAGGTTCGTAATTCAGCTGGTTCAACAGGGACTGGCTGAATATCAATCCATGTATGAGCAGGCTGGTTGTACACAAGTCGATCTATCAATCAACTTGTGTGCAACTAGCCTGTCGGGTTTTTCCAAACAATTGGTGTGGCTGGCTATAGCCAGCAAACCCTGATCATCATATTCTAAAGACAGGGAAGGCTTCTTGCTGTCAGAATACAATTCCACATCAGGAAGAATTTCCCAATTCACATCAAATGTGTGGATGGGGGGGAATCTGATCCCTTTTTTTTTTTTTTTTTTCTTTTTTTCAACCCACTGGTTGAACAAAAATAAATGAATCCTGTATGGCCAGCCTTAACCATAGAGTGCCTTTTTTTCCTTAAATTAAGTAGTAATGTATGCCTTCGTGTCTTCAGAAAAGGATAGTAAATGATCATGTTTTCCTGTATTCAAGTGTAATGTTCCAGCAGTGGCACAAGTAATGTAATATTATTTAAGAAAACAATAAAAGGAAGGAGCAAAATGTTAAGTTCTGTATGCTTCTATCTATAGGATGACCAATAGTTATTTGTCGCCTTTTTATGATAGTGGGTTTCCAGCCCTTTGAGTTGGCCATTATGCCCTAGACTGGTAGCCCATCCTACCAACTTCCATTGGTAGCTGATGGAGCTGTTAATGCCTACTCAGTCACAGTTCTGGGGGTGCCAACTGAGTGTATCCATAGAACAGTGACTCATATAAACATTGCTATTAAAGCATGTGTTGGGCTGTTGTACAGGGGTAAACATAGTTACATGTTGCCTTACTGGGCCCTTATAAAGTGTATCTGTGTATAA